AATCTATTGCAACCTGACACCCCAAATTTCCATTAAAACAAGATAGAATCTGTTGACTATAGACAGCCTTTGTCATTTTTGTGTGAAATATTGATCAAGAGAACCTGTAAATGGCCGTAAAAAGCTGTGTAATTTTTGTATCAATCTGGAAACAGTTCCCCATTTAGTTTATTTGTCAGAATGCAAGACTGAGCACAGATTTCAGTTCAGTACAATAAGGCACAAGTGTCCCACTCACTGCTTCCGAAGAGGTCAGAGTGCAAAATCTGTTTGTTGACTCAGTAAAAATCTCACTGCTGTTTGCACAGAACAGGAAAGTGAATGCAAACTAGACAAAACTAAATAAAAGATAGAACCTTCAAAAGAGAAAAAATGCCATATCAACTTCTTTGTCAGCTGACAGATTGCTATAGCCAAAATGAAAAAGCAATGGATAAACACAGGGCTTAATTCTAAACTACAATAAATAACAGGGATGCACTGATATAAAAAATCTGGCTTATACACAAGACAATAATTATTTTAAAGTTATGGCAAATAACCAATAAATAATTGCATACTATTTTGTCTAAATAAAAAATAAAACAAGTCATACAATAAATGAATTTGAGCAACACAACACCATAAATATATAGCATTCAAAGTTTTTTTTTTTTTAGGTTCTCTGAAGGTTACATTTAACAGTGTTACTCAAACATGTTTTGAAGTGAGTGATTTTAACTGAATATTACGATGGCAAAAGTAATCTAAATATTAAAAACTGATATTTCCAATATCAGTAAGCATTAAAAAAAAACATCTAATCTCAGCCAATAACCAATACGCTACCAATGCATCCCTAATACATAATTATGACGTACTGTATGTTGTCTTTATAACACGAAAGCAAAACAACATGCGTCAGTCAGGCTTCTGAATTTTCCCAATTCTAAGAACCGGTTTAAGCAAGTAATGCTTCTGGATAATAATACTTCTCTGCTCTGACCAAAAAGAGGAAGTGAACAACACTTGACCTTCAGTAACTCTGTGTTGAGTTACAGTTACGAAAAATATTGTGTTATGCAGTGTTTGCAAGATTAAACCAGAAGCACTGGAGCTGGATGCTCGGCACACTCTGCTGCTAGGCCGCAAATCCAGACTAAACATGAAGCGGTGTTCTGCAAACATTGATGAATCAGACACACAAACACACAACAACCCAATCAGACTTTATCATTTTCAAGTAAGTCTGGGGTTTTACAGCATGACAGGTAGGGTTGGGTATCGTTTGGTTTATTTTCAATACCGGTGCCAAATCGATACTTTTAAAACGGTTCCGGTGCCTGAACTGACACTTATTAAAAAAATAAAAAATCCCCCAAAACAATGATAGATTGGCCATTAGAATAGAAATAGAATAGAGAGTGCAAATGGTAGAGGGTCAAGTTTTTTAATAAAAAAAATAAGCAGATAAAATTAGAAGTAGCATTAGAATATAGAGTGCTAGAGTTAGAGGGTCAAATGAAGATGAAAGAGATGTGTTTTCAGCCGTTTCTTGAAAATATTAAGGACTGCTTGGATTGAGCTGGGCAGGTCATTCCACCAGGAGGGAACAGTTAATGTAGAAGTCCATGAAAGTTTTATCATGGGTAGAATGCAAAATGTTTCAATACAAGCATTTTAGTCAAACGTAATTCATGCAATATTTCAAACCTTAACCCCACGTGGGAAAATCAACCTATGGCAACAGTTTAGAAGTAGCCCAATTCTGTGGAAAAAACGCGGACGTGGCAACCCTGCATCTAACAAGAGCTACCGGAGTCAGCTTTGACTGATCACAGGTCGAGAACAAGGAGAGATGACTGACAAGACCATGCTGGAGTATTTGCTGCTCAACAGATTCTGAGCTCATTGACAAATATCTGATCTTGTAAGATGTGCTAACTTTACACAGAGTGCGTGTGATCGCGAAATCGAAAGTGAAAGTAAACAGTGCAAATGCTCATTCAAAAATATTTAAATACTCTGCATCCTGAGAGTGGCTCCCTCTTGCCCTGATGAGCCAAAATTATACACAATATTAGAATGTTTAAAGGAGTGGACAGAAAAATCGCGGGAGCGAAACACATGTTGCGGGAGCAGGCGGCAATGGTCAGAGATTCAGCGGGAGTGGGATTAAGAAAACAGAATCCCGGACATTTTGGGCAATTAAAAGAAATCCCGGTCGGACGCATTTTTGTAGGTCCAAAAAAAGGACATGTCCGGCGAAAAGAGGACATATGGTCACCCTAATTTATAATCTAATGCTAATCGTTGTATTCTTTTTAAAGTAGCATATGGAACATATTTTCTGCCTCATTCTGTGACAAGAAGCCTCATCAGATCACAAAAGGAAGCATTTGACTGGTGTTGTGGAGTAAAAATGTTATAATTTTCTCTTTTGTTGGACAACAGGTTTAGAAATGTGAATTCAAGGGAGGTTTAGCTTTAGGCATTTTAATTTAAGCATGTTTAGCTTAGTTAACGGAAGGCTACCTGCTGCCATCAGAACAAGTGTAATTACTGCATTCACGCGCTCCTCGGATGCTCTCATTTGCCGAGTTGTGCTTTTAAGTCGGAATGTGAAAACAACATGGACACTCGCGTTACTACAAAGATGTTGGATTTGTATTATTAGAGCTTTCCGACTTGAGTTCACATGCATTTTCTCAGAAGGGAAATTATTTTTCACGTACGGTGCCAGTGATGATGCTTCTTACGTCCGTTTCAGAGAACCAGAGGACAAATATTTCAATCGATCGCTCAAACCCCGTTCACACTGCCAGCGACTTTTTCGCTGCATGTCGCTAGACTCCGTGCTGTGAAGACGCTTGTGGGCTTTCCTACTGCTGTAGCTCTAATGTTATTGGTAGATTGCACGTCTGGACATATATGGACATATAAAATGCAATCACAAACTGTATATTGCCGGTGTGTAGTGTGTATGTTTGGGCATAAAAATGATCTAGAAAGTTAAAAATCTCAAAGTCCACTCCAAAGGGAGATATTTCGTTTTTTTTAAAAATCCCTTTTCAAGAACTACAACGAACGGCTCGTTTGGACTACAGCGTTTGTTTTCCTGGGCTTTGTGATATCACAGAGCGGCTCATTGGAATATCATTAAAATAATTCCCGCCTACAGAAATTCGAATGGTTGGGGGGTGGGGAGGGGCAAGGTTGTGGTTAGAACGCTTGGTTGAGTGAGTGCATCAGACGAGACGATGAAGAAGAAGTGCTGCTGCAGAGTTAGTGCATCAGAGAAAACCAAGAAGAAGAGCTGCTGTGCTGTAGCGTCAAATTTTCGGCATGTCTAGAACAATTCTTACAAGTATAACACGACATAGCTGGACAGACGCCAAACGGTGCCGCCGGTGTGCCTACACTCATAGAAAATAAAGTATTTGAATTTTAAAGATGTGGCGCGACGCTGCGCTTCTCGTCCGGTGTGCGACCGCCTGAAACGCTGTTTTTTTTCACCTCCGTGCCCAACCGTCTTTGTAAGGGCTTTCGAAAGCGGATGATGTCAGGAAACAGTGGTTGCGATTTATTTTTTAACTCTGTCCCTGAGCATTATAACCCCAATTTGCTATTGTGTGCTGTGCATTTTACTGAGGACAGCTTCCACAACACGAGGGAGTACAGTGCCGGATTCACCAAAAAGCTTTTGTTGAAAGACGGAGCAAGGGGCGTGGCAGTACTGAAACACCGTCTAAGCTGTTCGCCAATCACAACGCACTGGGACAGCTAACCAATTACAACACATTTTGTTTTTCGGAAGGCGGACCTTCATCAAAGCCGGAACTAATCGAGCCGTTTGTGCCAGGATTTGGAGAAAGGTATTTTAATAATGCAAATTATGTTAAAAATAATGCGTTTTTCGAACCACCAAGCATGAGAGCATGTTCTAGTACACCCCCAAAACAAAATCAAGACTTCGTAAAAGAACATAATAGGACCCCTTTAACTTTTGTCGCTTCACACGCCCACATTCTGTCACCAACGGTCACTGTCGCTCGTGTCGCCGGAAGTCACCAGCTCTCCATTGAAAATTAATGGGAGCATGTCTCATTGTCGCTGGCAGTGTGAACGGGGCTTCAGGCATGGTACTGAAATGAGGCACCGAAATCTGCGTTCGGATTCGGTTCTAGTACATACCGGTTACATAGGTGCCGGTGCCATATTGGTAATGGGTTTCGGTACCCAACCCTAATGACAGGTGCCAAAGCAGCCAGACTCCTGCAGTTAAAGGTCTAATAACAAATCCCTTGATGAAGAGCACCTTGCACCTAGATGCATTTATCTATGTTCAGTATATCAGATACAAGCAGTGTAAATACTTTTTCAAAATATTTTTCTCTATGTTGTAACACTGCCTATGCGAGGATGAAACTGACATGCTGCATTCTGCATTAACTCTGCTTGTGTCAAAAGAATCAATGACTCAATGCTTCACTGCACACACGCTTGTATTGACCTTCACCGCTCTCACACCGGCTCGGCGATGACTGTTAAAGAGGAATCACACAAGACGTGAAGACATTACGCACAACACATGACTTCAAACACGATGCATCAGAAACCCTGACAGCTGCGTTCACTGATTCAAGCCGGAGCGGCCGTTATTATGAAGCAGATATTAATAGATTGAGGTTGATTGCACGGTGACATAACCTCTACAACACTGCTGAATTAACACATATACAGCATTATAGAAAAAAAATCAAATGGGCCACAAATCTAGTGAATGACTGCATACTGCCCACGTTATAGTGGCGTCAGCTACTCGAACTGACCGTGTCCAAAGACAGTTCAGCATTCCCATCACGAGCACGTTCCAATTCATCACTGGTGTCCAGACAGCTGAGGATGTGCAAGGCTAGTGGAACTGCATGCCAGGGATGCAATAAGTCTGAGCTTTTAAAAAGCACTCTGGAATACCTGCAAAGAGACCGTGTGGGGGGAAAAAAAATGGTCATACTCACAATCGAGGTGTTTCTTTTTGGGTCCACTGACTTCATGCGTTGTGGCCTTGCAGACGGCTTTGCTGATGGCTGACCCAGTCATGCTGTGCTGGGCCGCTGCGATGCGATCTGTGATGGACTGTCCTGACATTTTTATTCACCTCTGAGATACGATAAATGACGGCTAAACTTGACCTGGTCTCGCTGCAAAGGTGTGTCTTTCCACGATTTTACAAAAGTACACTAACTCGATACAAACAGTTGAGTTTGATACGTTTCGAACCAGCCACCAAGTCAACTGGCACTAATTCATACACTTGTTGCAAAAAAAGGAAGGAAAACTTGACCTAACTAGTAAAAATGTCACAACTACATATGCCGTAACTAATTTGGAGGGGCGAACTGAGCTTTTGTTAGCTAATATTACTAATGCAACGTTGGCACCAAGAGCAGATACTGGAAATATTGAAGTCTGAAGATACAAAACAACTGTTGGAAAATGTCATAGCTATCAGTCAGGCCAGCTCAGAGGATTCAGGCAGAAAATATCACCTGTCAGCCAGCTTGAGCCTCACCAATACAGACCTTTTAAAAGAAAACAAACTGGATATGGGAAGCACTGACAGACTAGCTTGAAATTAGATATGCAAATCGGTTCTGTGGTTTTTCCTGCCTTTATAAAGCTACTATTATACTGGCACCAAGACCTAACCAGTCAAGAACTCTGACAGGTTTGCTTGCGAGAAATATGCATAGACATACAAACCAAAACCTTTGAGAGACTTGGCAAAGAGACGGGAAGAAAGCTGGATTAACTTAAAAATGCAACTATACCGGTAACAAAACAAAGGTATTATGTAAGCAACCTATTTAGGCGACTTATCTAATCGACAACCTAAACTATCTGCCCAGCCAGCTGAAGTAGATAAATCACATCTGAGCGTTAACTAGCGCTCCAACTTTCTTATATTAGACAACTAACGTAACGTTACTAACAAAAACAATCCCAAGCGAGCCTAAGCGATTCCTAGATAACACATACAATTCAAAAAGAGGGGTAAATATTGTTAAAAACAAGTCCAGCACGCATCCCGACGAGGACAGCTGAAAGTGTCCGGCTCAAATTGGACTCCAGCCCGGTGAGCCAGCGCGTCTAACCGGATACCTGGTTCTCTTCCCTTCCGTCCCGCTGAAAGTCTCAATTTAGTCCCCGAAAACGACACGGTTCCGCCTGTGGTGAGACCGAGAGACGTCGAGTTGCTCGGGACTGAAAGAGAGGTAGTGTAGCTGTAAACTCCCCGTCTGACGCCGAGTCTGTGGCTGTGGTTTGAACTGTCAGCTCTACGTTATTCCGGTTTGCGAAAGAATGCGCTGGCGGAGCCGTTCAGGACAAAATGGCTTCGCTGTGATCAGGTGAACGAAAAGCTGGGGTTTGATTGGGCGGGAGCAAGTGGCGTTCACGCGTTCGTGGGAATCAGCGTTGCCGCTCTTTACTTGGACTCTTGTTGTGATTCTTTTTTTGACACTTGATCCATAAATCATTTGCCATAAAATGCTCTAACTTTTGGATAAATGTAACGTATCCTTTTTATATGTTTTTTTATTGCCCACCGGGATGAACTGAGTCGTTTTCTTTGTTTAATGCCCAATAAGAGAAGTGAGAAGATGTCCCAAATACCATTGATCTGTTAATCAAACACTAATTTAAAAATATGTAATTAAAAGACACTATATGTATATTAAAATAATACAACATATTCCACAAATCCCATCAAATAACAGACACAATAGATGGAACGAACATTTCACACATTTTGCTTCACATTTTTTGTTCTATATTAGATTTATACATAGGCCTACTAGAATGTAGTGGATAACAGTGAACAAGTAAATTATTGAAGTGTTGAAACATGTAGATAACCCTGAATTTAAAAAAAAAAATACCTGACTTTCTCTAAAGTATTAAACCCCAGTGAGGTAAGCAAAAGAAAATGTTTCAGAGGGGAAGTACAACATTTAAACACACCTCTCTGTATGAGGAAGTGGTTTAAAGAGCAAAACCACAATGGTGTCAAGCATTGACTTCATCTGGGAGGAGCATGAGAACATGTCTCATTCTAGAAACGTATTTATTTGTAAATAGTTCATTTGACCATATGGCTATACATAGTCTACTTAAAAACTGATGACACTCTAACTATATGTCAGTGAGCTCTGAGGTTATGATGAACAAAGACACAACATTTGTGTAAGTAAACCTGTTTTATTCATGTTTTATTTCATCATTGTCAAAATTAGTATCAAATTACTAAAAACATATTCATGGTGTGATATCCATATGCACAAAGACAATGCATTTGCAATGAAAATGAATATGTTTGACACTAGAAAACACACAACATTAAACTGTTCTATAACATCTAAAGTAGCAGATATTTTGAATACTTGCAGATAGGTGAGCTGAACAGCTGATGTGACAGCCCCATCTAGAGGAAAACAGATGCAACTATTTCCATGGCAACTAGATCCAGCAGTAGCCCTTGGCAACAGTTTCTGCAACTGACTGATCACTTCCTCAGGGAGCATCCTACTTAATTAAACAAGAGATGTTGACATGAAAATAATATTTGGTTTCAAATGGCTTGATAATTGTTTTACCTTGTTTTTACAAAAGCTCTTAATACATTCATTTAAAGTACAGTGTGTGGTATTGCAGCGGATTTGTGAGCGATTTCTCTTGACTGACAGAGCATCCATCCAAACCTGCTAAAATGGTTTACTCCTCCCTCTCATTCGGTCAACACTTGCGTCATCCGTATAGTCAAATGCTTGTCTCCGTAGATGCTAAATGAATTATTTTACTGCCAACATACAGTCAGGCTTTAGAGCTGTGAATTTCACATTTACAAGTAGTCATTTGGCAGATGCTTTTATCTCAAGTGAGTAACAAGCGATAAGCTATTTATTATACAAATTCTCAAACATTCTGATGTCCTTTAGATGACCCTTACACTCTGTTACATGAATGAAAAAGTGTGATTTATATTTAAGTATTTCATAAGGAACATGGGAACATAAAAACATAGGGGCATTCCTCAACCAATGTGTAATACTTAAATAGAAAAGAGGGGGAAATACGCACATCCAAAACATCTTCAACAGGTGCACGACCGAAATGGAAAACTGCACCAAAAATCTGCACTGTTCAACTAAAATAAAACAATAACATTTTAATCAGAGATTTTCAGTGATCTCTGATTGAAACGTTGCGGTTTTATTTTGAAAATAACAGGAATATTTGACCAGATTTCCACTGTTTTCAACCATATAACTTAAATATGGCAACGCCTTGTGAACGCCTGAACATTGATGTCTATTTCAGCACTAAAGAAGACCAACATAAGTGCTTGAACACACATACCAATCTCACAGTCATGAATGCACACTCTCTTTCAAACAAAAGCTTCTATCACACCACACCTGACATGCTCTCATCTTCAGGTCCGACAACTACAGGCTGGCAGCAGCCGGTGCAAATGTACCGCAGCACACAGAGGTAAACGCTGCCGGACAGTCCCACGGTCAGAGCCAGCAGGATCAGACTCAAGTGCGATGGCCCAGCTTGGTAAGCAAATTCGGTGAGAATGTCACTGTCCATTACTGCAGGTAGTTCAGAGTTCTGGGCTGGTAAATTGAGAAGAGATGAGCTGTTAGTTTTATTTAGCAATTTATTTATTAGACAAATCATAGCATCACATTAGCAATATTTTACCTACTGCTGTGAAATAACCTTTACCTGTCAGTTTGTGTACTGTATTTTATATTGCACATTGTTTTATTCTGTGTATATTTTCCAAAAATGCAACTACAAAATGTCCACCAGCCACAATAAAGTATCTAATTAATATATTTTAAAAGGCTAAGGCCATTTTCTTTTGTACATTGTATTGTATAGCAAGACAGCTGGCTGTCTAATAAAAGGCAGTAATAAACAGACCATATGAACAATATTTTATAAGTAAGAGGATCCAAGGCAGTACTACCTGAAATCAATGGAAAAATAAACAGAAGCAGCAATTCTGTATCCTTCCACAGCATTATGGAGACGTTACCGCTGGGTTGTAAAGCTAAAACACAGCAAAACATCAATTTAAATCGATTTAATTGTATTTTTACAAATTGCAAATTACTTTTGATGAATCCTTTCGGACATAACGTTTCTTTAATAAAAGGGAATTAGGATGGTAACAGGGTTTTTGGATAATCTGGGGACACAACTTCAAATCTTTTTAATATTATGTCCAATGAAATCAAAATATATAAAATAATGACATACCTTTTATTTACTGCATTATTTATTATTATTATATCAAAATGTTTATATATGCTAGTAATACAGCAAGGATGGACATGGGGGGAAAAATGAAAAAAAAAACATAGTAAAGGTTGGTTAAAGCTTTTCATTATTCAAGCCATTGCATACACATATGTTCAGTGACACAAAAGGACATTTCTTTTTTTGCTGAAACATTTAACTGTCTCATATAAATTGCCATAAAATTATTCATCATCATGTCTGCTGAAATGTAAACATGTGTGTGTGTGTGTGTGTGTGTGTGTGTGTGTGTGCGAGAGGTAAAGTGTTTTAGTGTTTTCCACCAGTAGGTGATGCGAGGACCCTCACATGAGACCAATATAAGCACGAGACACACATTCCTGTCCCTGTGCTTCAGTTTATTCTGAGTATAAACACAGAGAGGGATTCATACCACTGTGACATCACATACACCAGCTGAGAGCAGCAAAATCTCAAACAAGGCATGTTATGGACTGTAATGGCATTGTTCAAGCCAAGTGTTAAAAACATTACTCCAGTAACATTTTTCATCTCTTTCCGTCTTTCTGTATAGCCTACTGTGTGTGATTATTTTTCCAAGGAATAACATTATGTGGTGCATTTCCACTGTGTACGGTCAATAAAAACAGTGCTAGGAAACTGAAGGTTAGACAGGGCTGAAACTTGTCTGACATCATATTCTTTTTGTAAACACTGTAAAATGTTTTTATCTTTTTATCTAAACAGTTTTGGTTCCATCCATTTAATGTGTCACAAAACTTAATTTGTACTGTATTTTGTGAGGTTTGCCTGTTTGTTTGTCTTTCAACAGTAAAGTCAAAGTGTATTACTGCACATTTTGGCACCACTTTGATTATATATTTAAGACGACTGAAACAGCTGCCTTTTATGTATAAATGTAGGTAGCTGACAGATATCATAGGCATGATCTTTTAGTGTTTGAGTTTGAGGTCCAAAATGGCATGGATAATAGGCTACTATAAATAGCCATACAATCAGAAAATGTTGTGTAGAATAGTTTAAGACGCGGTACGGCATGTCATATCGCTTGAGGCTCCTCTCAACTACCCATATGCTCATTTATTTACATAAGCCTATTGAATTTTTAGATAAAGCAGTGACAATCATTAACATTGCAGGCAAAGACAAGGAACTATACATAACTTAAGCAAATGACCTGCGATGTCCCACAACTGCAGTCGAATGACTGTCTGGTGATCCCAATTCAGGACTTTCAGAGCAAAATCAACACCTATAGTCGCGCGGTAATGTTGAGAAAAAACCTTATTCACATAACGCTTTATGATGGAAGTCTTCCCCACACCTAAATCTCCAATGACAAGGACTTTGAGTAACCTCTCCTGCTGCATGTCAGCAGTCTAGAGTACATGACACTTTTATCCAAAAGAAAGAACGCTTTCGTTTTATGTCAAATTAAAGTCGTGCTGGACGGAGTTCTCACTACAGGTTTTCGTGGATAGTAAAAAATGACAAACAAACCGAAAAACATTCACTGCGTTTCGTTGGAGTTGAGGACGCGCGCTTACAGCTGTCAAATAGTGCGTTTCAAAAAAGCATTTCTTCAAGAGGTGAGAAGTTTCGCACTTCATTTGCCTGACTGTCGACAACTTTTCATCGCGCTGTCGAGTCATTCAAGTCAAATATCCTATACTGCTGATCTGTTCAAGAAGCCCATCACAGTGCGCCTACCTGAACTTTAGGACTGGAGAGTTTAGTCCAGGGTTTAGTCTCGAGAATAAACTACAACTCCCGTCATACTGGTTATCTGGTTCGTCTGATCGTAAAACTTGAAATAGATGGCGCACAAGAAATGTAAATGCCCATGTAGGCTACAGTAGGCTATATAAAAAATGTATAGCCTACTTAAGCCAAGTAAAACTAAAGGAAGATAGTTTACCCAAGAAGGAGTAGAGACATGCTACTATTTTTTTATGACGTTTTTAACCGTTCTAAATGTACATTTATCAAAACAATATTTAAAATTATTTCAATGCAATACTGAAAGACTTTATT